CCATCTCCAACAGGCTTCCCGATGCGTTCACGTCGAAGCACTTCTGCCTCGGAGGCGCCCCGACGACGCCCAAGAAGGAAGAGGTCTCGATGCGTGATTTCAAGACACGAAGGAAGGAGAAAGGGGGCGCGGCCCACCATGGGCTGGAGCACGCGGAGAAGAACGAGTTCGGCGCCCCGCTCATTGAGGGAGACGACTTCGCAGGGTTGTTGGCCGCCAATATCGAGCTGGCCCGAAAGCTGGAGGAGCATCGCGACTCGGGCCCCGATCCCATCGCAGATAGAGAAAAGCGGGGCGGCGGTTTCCAGACAGGAACGCTGGAACGGCCCCGCGACCTGGCGGGTGATGCGCCAGTGGAATTATTGCGCCGCTTGCCCCATGAAGACGGGGCGAACGCGCGACGGTTTCTGCGCGCCCGCTACAACACGGTCGAGCCCCAGTGTCTCCCGAAGCCCGAGATTGGCCTCACCCCCCTGAACATGACCGGCGACTTGCGCGCGCTCGCGTGGCATTCGGATATGGATGTGGAAGAAGCTGGACGCATTGGCTCGCTCGTCGTCCACCTGGCGGTGCATAGCGCAGCCTACGTTCGCAGTTCAGGAGGATGGGTCGAGGCAGCTGACATCGTCAAGACGCTGGGCGACGAGGGCTACGACCGGGCGCGGGCACGCTTTATGCATGTTCTTGCACAACTGCCACGCCATACTGTTCAGATATTTGGCGCGAAGCTGAGGAGCACCGAAGATGCCCCCACGGCTGAGCCTGAAGACTGGGAAAAAACTTCCGAAGCAAACCATTAAACGACGACTATGTCGTCGGGAATTTCTCCATGGCGAGGCCAGTGACGAGAGTGCCCCTATTGTTCCGCGCTTACAAGGATCACTCTGTCCGAGTTGTTGACCCCAAACGCATGCATATCAAGTGTGACGCGGCAGCGAGGCACTCCCACCAAGCAATCGCCATACCACGGGACGATGCCCGGGTGCGAAGGTCTATGACCCGGCACGTTGTGGCACCACAACGGGACCTCCAGGGCGCGCGCCATTACCTTTCCCTGACCTGCCTACCAACGGAACTCGGTCCGTACCCTACCCTGGAAGGTGCATGTGTCAGAGAGCAAGAACCGGGTTCGGGCGGGGCAGTTCAGCTGGCACGGAGAGCGCGGAAGGGCCCTTGCGGCGCAATGCACGGACAATTGCCGACGCGGCTTAGACCTGGAGGCTGGGCGCGCGCAGTAGCCGGCCAAGCAATAGACGCAAGCATTTTCGATCTGGAAGATCCACGCTCTCTCTCGGTGTCCCACGCGCTCACCTTCGAGCCCCGCATCTTCGAGAATCAGGACATCTGGATTCAACGCGACGGCTGTTGGGCCACTACGTCCGGCCCAAGTGGAGCGACATTCATCAGATTATGCGACATACCGTGTCTGGGACACAGCAGATCCAGATCTCGTGGATTTCGGCCTATGACCGGAGGTACACTGCGCTCAGAGACCCCCTGGCTTCGACACGGCATGCACAGACTTGATCAAACAGAATCAGGTCATCGTTCGGATACCTGGTGTTGATCATGATGTTGCGCGCAGCAGTAATGGAATGATGGCTACCTCCTGCGCGGCAACGATTGCCGCAATCGGTTGGGCACATTGACCCGGCTACCAAGGTCCCTAGATGGCGAGCTGCCTGAGCAACAGAATCCCTACAAGCAGGAGGAGGCCAAGAGGCTGGCCCACAGGTGGATTAAGTTCCAAAACGCTCATCTCAAGACGCCCGCTACTGGCAGCAACGCTGTTGTTATTCCGCGGACATGGTGGCCGCACATCGGCAGGGGGATTCTGGAAGGGGGGCGGCTATGCCATTCTTGAACCGCTCGACTGGGACAACGATTCCCTGGGGGGGCGCCGTCGCGAAGAACCCAGCATGGGTTGGCCCGCGCGGCGCAGAGAGTCACCGCGAAGCGCTGAAGTCCAGCCGCTCAGTCAAATGAAGGCTGCCATGGAACAAATGATAGAGGGGCACCGGCCACCAGTGGAAGTCCTAGGAGCTCCACGGCCGACAGCGCGGGAACCACGGGCTCAGGCACCACCTGACTATGCCAGGGCGGGCGCCCCCCCCCCCCCCCGGAGCGCAGTCTGCCAAAGGAGACAAGAGGCCTAACTCTACGCAGCCTGAGGGCCGTCCTACGGCAGCAAGAACATCGGGCGACGCCTAGGGCAAGACGCGAGCAAGGAGGCCGAGCGCGGCGGCACGGGAGCTTGGAGGCGAAGCAGTCGCGCGCCAGATGATCAACAGGAATTAAGACGTCGCCGAGCTAACAACGCGACCCAGTGGGACTCGCACTCACGCTCGGGAGACGCCTCTCCGAGCTCCGCCAGGGCGCCGGGGCCGCCAGCCGCGAGAGATTTCCAGCTGCGCGCGGGCGCCACCCCGCCATGGCACGAGACCGCCGACACGTCACGGCAGCGCACGCGCCGGGCACCGCCGCGGCACGAGAACGCGGATTCCATTCCCCCGTGGCGAGAGAATGCCGACAATTGGCGGTCGTCTTAGAGCTGGATCTCAGGCGACTGGCAAGGCTACAGCAGCTGGAGCTGCGACGAGCACACTTGAGGTTGAGCGGAAGAGAACGAGGGCCACTCGCAGCTATGCCGCGGGCGCCCCCTCGACGCAACCGTGCAATTCACTGAGCGTCTCAGAGCGCTGCGAGCCAGGTAGCGGGCGAGCTGCCTGCCGGGCGCGGCGCGACGGTCCGATTTATAAGCAAATTTGCGGCGCTGACAAATCGTCAACGCCCACCCGCGCGAGTGGAGCTCGCCAGGGAGGCCGCGGGGGCAGCTGATTTAGTCACACCCCTGCCTTGTCTCAGCCTCAATTGCTGACATTTACCGAAGCCGCGTTGGCTTCGGTCGCAGGAAAGACCGCCCTACCCACCGCGCGCGCGCGCGCCCGGCCGGCCGGGCTTAGCCATAGTTTAACGACACAAAACCATATTAACCCATGACTACAAGGAGTACCTCTCTCACACACACACACACACACACACACACACACACATCGCTCGGATCTGAACATGAAAAGCTATCACGAGAAGAAGATCACCATGAATAACAAGTACACGCTTTGCCGTGCAATCGAGCTGCGAAAGCGACGGAGAACTGGCAAAACATTGAGCGTTTTGGGTGTTTCGGGAGGGCCTCTTGGGGATGCTTGAGGCTCTCTTGGGAGCCTCTCGGGACCCTCTCGGGGCACCTTGGGATGCCTCAGGGGGGCATATTGGGGCCATCTTGGAGGAGATCGATCAAAGAACGGGGGGTTCTTCATCAGGGCCCAACCCCCGAGGAGGCCAAATTAGCCCGGAAACCTCACTAAAATGAACGGTGTTGGCCTTTTCGCCGAGGCCATACTGCACGTTCCAACGCTTTGCAGAACCCCCAGTCCAGGTCCAGGGGAGGAGGTAGGGGGAGGGGTCAAGACGCCCTCCCCGCCCGCAAGCCGTCTCGCTCACTCCCACCCGCCCCCCCTAACACATACGTAGCACCCGAGCCTGGCCCGAGCCGCAGCATATTCAGCACTCGTCTTTGGATCGGCAGTTACTGGAGGCGACTCCGCCGCCGCCGCCGCCGCCGCCCGCCGCCGCCGCCGCGGCGCCGCCGCCGCCGCCGCTGTCCGCCCGCTGCCGCCGCGCCGCCCCCGCCGCCGCAGCCGCCGCCGCCGCCGCCCCCCGCTTCGCCGCCGCAGCCGCTGCCGCCACCGCTGCCGCCGCTGCGCCGCCGCCGCCGCCCCGCCGCCGCCGCCGCCACCGCCGCCGCCGCCGACACCGCCGCCGCCGCCCGCACCGTCGCCGCCGCCACCGCCGCCGCCACCGCCGCAGCCGCCGCAGCCGCTGCCCCCGCCGCAGCCGCCGCAGCCGCCGCAGCCGCCAAGTGTACTTTGTATTGTTTTTTGACAGGGATGGTGGGGGAAGGCCGCATCCGGTTCGTTGCGCATGCTCCGAATTTGGAGGCGCAGTGTGTTTCGTAGTGTTTTTACAAGGGGGGGGGCCCTCATTGGCGCGGGTTGGCTCCCAGTCGCCTGGGGGAGGGGGTGTATACTGATGGAGAACAGGGATTAACCCCTCCCCGAATCGGAAGCACTGGGATTTGGAGACTCATTCCCTGAAGTGCTGGCGGGATTTGCCGCAGCCGGTATGTTGTGAGCGAGCTCGAACCAGCGTCGTTTCAGGGGGGCCCGCTTTCCTGGTCGCAGTCACGTTCGCTTGCAGCGGCAAATTGTTTGTTTCGGGCCTTGCGCGCGGGCTGCAAGGTTGTCACAGGGCGGACTGGGCCGGGCACGTGCGGGGCGCAGTGAATCGGCCGTTGGGCAGGCGCCGACTGGCCCGAACGAGCAAATAAAAACAGCTGATGGATAAGGTCCTGCACCACCCGCGCGACCAGGGTGCCACCGCAAGCTTCAACGCGCCCCTCCTGCCCCCGATTCAATATTGGTTGGCACCGCCAGTAGGGCACTGGACCTCGGCCAGTCGAACAGATCGACACATCGCGGCGCGGCCCGCCAATCCCAAATCGGAGGCGCGGGGGGGGTCACAACAGTCAATATAATTTGTAGGGGGGGGCATTTTCGGGGAAACGAAAGATTCGAGTTCGCAGGACTCTGGTTTGCCGACGCTTTTTCACGGGCCCTTCCTGCATTTTGACGGTCCAGTTTTCGCTGGATGTTTGCAGCTGGAGCTCGCGTTAAATTTCAGACTGGGGCTCGTCGTTTTTTTTGGCGGTCCTGTCAGGCCATTCCGAGCCCCCCGAACCCGAGGCCTACGCCTCCGGGACATTCGAGCGCAGCCTGCAAAAGAAGTCAGCCGCAGCCGGTCCATCCTCAATCATTTTCGATGGCCAGCCCCGCTCGAAGAGCCTCGGAATGGGCGTCCAAGGCCATTGCATCCATATCGCGCATCCGTAGTTTCAGTTTTGACTGTACTCGCACTGCGTCCAGCCCCCCGCCCGCCAGCCTCACGCAGCTGACCATGCGGTTCCTCCGGGCGCTCGTGGAGGAGTTGTGCGAGCAGCGGGTCCCGCCGAGCTCGGGCGGGGGGCGCGGCCGGCCGTGCGGGGGCATCTTCGGGAAGTTGTCTGTTGCCAGTAAGGTGTCCTCGAACTCCGGAGAGTGTTGAAGGGCGGGCATCCGAAAGAGTGCGGAGCTCTTCTTGCTGGAGGAGGGAGAGGAGAAAGACGAGATCGATGGGTGGTCCTCATCCTCTTTCTCCACATCATCATCACCTCCATCATCAGCATCATCACCATAATCAGAACCGTCCTCAACAAAGCGAACAACAACAACGACAGCAACAACAACAACAGCAACATCAACAACAACAACAACAACATAAACAAAAACAAAAACAAAAACATGAATCATTTGAATACTGTTCGCTCTTATCTGCTCGAGTGACATTCAACGTGTATTTCCCGAACCCTCGATACCCGCCCTGTTCGTCTTCGATCGTACCCGCTTGGGGGTGTACATAATTCTTCCCTGCATGCCGAGCCCCGGCAAGCGGCGGGGCGGCCGCGGACCGTCGGCCTGGCCAGCGGCAGCGCTGACTGGCGGCAACCCGACCCCAAGAGGGACGGACAGGGGACCGACAACGACGACGAGCGAAAGCGAGAGCGAGAGCGACAGCGGGGCCACGAAGGGCAGGAAGGGGGCCATGAAGGGCGACAGCGTGGCCACGAAGGGCATGCATATGGGGGCACGACGGGCGCGAACGAGCGGGAGCCCACGAAAGGCAGATAATGCGGCGCCACAGAGAGCAACGACGGGGCCACTGAGGGTAGCAACGGGGCCACGTGGGACAGCGACGGGGCCACAAAGGGCGACAGCGGGGCCACGAAGGGCATACGCATATTGAGCCGCAGAGGCAAGGACGGAGCCACTGAGGGCAGCAACGGGGCCACGAAGGGCAGCGAGGGGGCCGCGAAGGGCGACAGTGGGGCCACGAAGCGCACGCATATGGGGCCACGACTGGCGCAAACGAGCGGGGGGGTCACGAAGGGCATACATGAATGGGGCCACGAAGTGCAGCGAGGGGGCCACGAAGGGCTGCAACAGGGCCACGAAAGGCAGCGAGGGGGCCACGAAGGACTGTAACGGGTCCACGAAGGGCAGCGAGGGGGCCACGAAGGGCTACAACGGGGCCACGAAGGGCAGCGAGGGGGCCACGAAGGGTTGCAACGGGTTCACGAAAGGCAGCGAGGGGGCCTCGAAGGACTGCAACGGGGCTACGAAGGACAGCGAGATTCCGATTCCGAAGTAAGCTGCGAGGGAGTCCTAAGCGTGAGCGCGACTCTTGGGTGCCTGAGTGTCGGGAGCGCGGCGCTTGAGTAATTTGCGTGGAGCTCCAACGCAAGAGGGCGATTCTTGAGTAAATTGCAAGCGAGTTTCCAGCGAGAGCGCGATTCCAGAGCGCCGAGAGAGCGATTCTTGAATAAGTTGTACGGAAGTCCCAAACGAGAGCGCGATTTCTGCGTAAAACGCGAGGAAGTCTCAGGCGGGAACGCGGTCCTGGTTAAATTGTGAGGAAGTCTAAGGCGGGAGCCGTTGTTGTTGTAATGCTGGGGCCAGTGGCGCAATTCGAGCTTATTAGCAATTTTCCGTGAAAAAACATCGTCATCATCATCAGCATCATCATCACCATCACCACATCATCATCATCACCATCATCATCACTATCATCATCATCATCATCATCATCATCATCAGCATCATCATCATCATCGTCATTAGCATCAGCATCAGCATCAGCATCAGCATCATCATCATTCTCTCTTGACCACAAATGATCATCAGCGCTGTGCAGCTCCACCCCAGAGCCAAAATAGTGGCAGGGTGAATTGTGAGCTTTCTGTTGGCGAGGACTTCGTCAAATCAGATCAACTCCTCTACATCCTCTTGCCGGTATACCCCGCGAGATTCGCACACCAGCCGGTTCCCATCATCACATTCACACGTTTACGTCGCCTTACTGCTGGGGTTTTCTAGGCCGTTCGTGTCATCGGTTGAGCAGTACCCGCGGTCGTAGTCGATGCTCACGGCTGTATCAGGCGATGTTGCCGCAACGGTGACGACGATGATGATGAGGAGGAGGAGGAGGAGGGTGATGATGAGGGGGACAATCACGTGTATGGTGGAATCGTTTACGCTTGACGTCGGTCACTGCCGCGATGACGATAGTGATGGTGATGAGCATGCAGACGTTCGCGACGTTGATGACGCTGACGACGAAGACGACGACGAAAAATAGAACGCAAAGTACGATGACAACGGTGTCATTGAAAATGACGACTGCGTCAATGATGAGGCGTTGGAGATGGCTTGTACGCGGGAGGAACAGCCATGAACATATCATCGGTCAACAAGTTTCCGCAACACTCGCAGCAGCAGGGAACATCCATGAAGGTGGAGGAGGGGGTGTAGAGGACGACAACGATCACGATGAGGAGGCGGAAGGCACGGTGTTGCGGTAGTTCTGGGACGTCGTGTAACCCACTTGACAATTGTTTTGGCTGTCT